CCCCCCCCCCCCCTTTGTCTTCTATCGAGGACCAGCGTCGTCTGGATTCCGGTAGGAGACGCATCATTTGAATACGAAATTCGAATACGCTGACGAACCACGCATACATCAGTCTACGTCTGTTTGAACTGGCCCCTGTATGGTAATAGGCCCGGCACGGCGCACTAGAAGCGCATCGACTCAACTCGATGCGTAAGCCGGATCGGAGTCACTCCGGTCGGCCGTTTCGCCTCGGGATGCTTCCGCTCGAAGGGTTTTAATATTAAACCCCCGACTCTCACATCCCCAGTCCCGATTACGTTCGAGCGAGATGGGAACACGGGAGCGTCAATGCGGTGTATTTGCGGAGAGTATTTCATCGGTGCATGTACCTCTTTTTTTTATAAAAGTGTAACTGTGTATGTTTTTACGTAGTATATGTACATCTTTGCTTATCGAGCCTAGTATATTATGGATAAGGATACAATCTATCAAACTACTATTTATGTAATAATGATAGTTACATGCATGGATGGAAGGGAAAAGGAAAGACCAAGTGAATTGCATTTGCATCTGATATTCACTGCGATATTAACCCTTCGGAACTAACAGCGAATCTATTGGACCCAATTATATTCCTTATCAGTTATATTCCCTCTCGTGCTGACTCTCATTAGCCTTAAATGTCTTTGTAATTGTTATTTTATATTTCTTATGTCATATCTGCAAATATGAAAATTATTGTTATTAAAATAAACTTAATATTTATTCTTTTTTATATACCTAAATTATGTCATTTTGGTTTATTAAAAATAATGATGCTTTTTAGTCAAAATATATTAAATAAATTCACAGAAGCAGCGTTAATTAACAATATTGCAGATCTTGACGTCAACTCTAAAGGATTAATTCTATTAATTCCATTAATGTCAGATTGCTTTAATACATTTTTTTAAAGTAAAAGACATTTTCTGTAAGTTTAGAATGGCCTATTGTTCTACTTCGCTGAAAACTTTCTTCCTTTCCTACTTCAACGGATCAAAGTCAACCAACCTCGAAAAACATCCGCAAAAGAACCCTGTTGCTGTAGTGCGCGTAATGCAGAATGTTTGTCGCGGCGTTTCGATCTAGGGGGGAGGGAGGGAGAAGGGGACAGTTCCGGAACGCGCTGGAATACGGCGGGGCGCGTCAACTCCGGAAGTTACTTTTCGGAAGTCGTTCCGGTTCACATAACGAACGCCCGTCGAGGTCAGCCACGGTAACTAACAGAAAACTATCTCGCTGTCTCCTTCCTCTCTTTCGCGCCCCAGGCCCGAAGGAAGCCCTGTAAACTTAGTTGAGAACTTGCCACCGCGTTCTTCAACCCCCTTCGATCCTCGAGCCACCCTTCACCCCTCTCTATTCTTCTTAAACCCCCTTTACACCAGAGACGGCACGAGCCCAGCGAACGGTGGCTCGCGTTAAACTTTATCTCCGTACGAGCGGGAGTTTTAAAGTTCACTTTATTAAAGACCCCCGCGACTACTCGAGGAACCGGAGGTTCGTCGGATGGAGCGAGAAAGAAGGATGCAGGGAAGAAAGCGGGGAGGGGGG